ACATTTAGAGCTTTTGGGACACCCTGTACATTACAAAAATATTTTTAAAATGTGCGCTCGGTAGGCGTCGGACAATTCATAAAATAGTACTTTTTAAAAATCAAACGGTTTAGCCGCAAACTTCAGTGCCGTATAGCGTGAATAACCCTGTATAAGGATCTTAAGTCGTAAGCTTTAAGGGAGTGATCAACCTATTTTTTATTTAGTTTGACTTCAATTACTCTTGCTCAATAATCTACTTTATATTCGAGTGATAGCCAGCCATTTTTTAGATATAGACTGTTTTTTGCTACAAATGAATGTAGCGCTAAATAACTGTGAGTAGTTTTTGTTGCTGATTTGCAACGGGAGTTACTCTTTTGCAGAAGTCGGAAACTGTCCCGGGTGTCCTTCAAGCGGCACCTGGGACACTTTCTTGGGTGTAAATACTGGGTTGAGGTGAAACCATATTGATTATCTGCTGGTATATATTCGAATGTTTTGTAAATAGTTCCTTTTTTGTATGTATATACAATAAGTGTTTATAAAACTGGTTTGGGTTTCTTTCCCAAAGCACGTTTTGAACACTCAAAAATTGACTTTTCAATTTCACATTGAACATTTCTGCTATGCGATCCCAGATTTATCTACAATAGCTTTTGAATTATGTTTATATCGTTTTTTAATAGAAAAAACAGATAACAGAAACACGTTTTGTAAATACCTTATTCTGTATTAAACTAGTGCAATTTCCTTTTGCCAGTGTACACACGTTAGTTATTATCATAATAATATCAGACTATGAAGGCTTTCACGGCCGGTCAAATCACATTTAGGAATGTTTTCCGGGCTTTGAAGCCGTGGTCTATGGGAATTTCTTCCTGACGTTTCGTCCACAACTGCGGTGGACATTATCAGAGGCGATGAGGCAGTGGGCGAAGTGATCTCCAGTGCTTTCCGACTAAGACTGATGAGGTCAGGCTTCAAAGCCCGGAAAACATTCCTAAATGTGATCATAATAATAGTCGCAAAACCCCGTGTTTGTGCAAATGTGCCTTATGTACTTTTTGAGGGACATAGTGGGAAATGAGATATTATTCATTTATTTTCTGCTCCGAATTGTTCAATTTCGAAATATTAATAAACAACGTAATTTTTTCTTGCTTTATTATTTACTAGACAACAATCAACAAGAAGAATTTTAAAATATTGTTCGCTTATTACAACCCGATTCGCTTTTATTTTTTGTGTATGATTTTACTTGCACTTAGTGAGTGTAATCGAGTGCGCTTTCCATCTTTAAAACAACTTTTTTCGGCAGACTGTATATACCTATGACAAACTTTCTCTAAAAGTTAGCAGTGATTTCTAATGTCTTTCGTTGCATAGAAGATCTACACTCCCATCAAGTCGTCAGTATTCCACGGTGACACATTTGGTCTTCAGATACTCGTTGAGCGCTTCTTGGCCCAAGTCCTTACCGAAACCGCTTTGTTTGAAGCCCCCAAATGGCGCTGCAACGTCCGTCTTGTTGTACGTGTTGATAAACACAGTTCCTGCTTCGATTTTTTCGGCAAACCGGAGTGCCTTGGAAATGTCTTTGGTGAAAATGCCGGATGCCAGTCCAAATTCGGTGGCGTTGGCTCGCTTCAGAACACCATCAAGGTCTCTGTTAAATACGGACAGTTAGTTTTAAGAGTCAAATTGCTTACCAAACATAGAGTTATAACAGACACTTACCCATCGTTGAACCGACTGATGATCATGATTGGTCCAAACGATTCCTCCTTCGCCACATACATATGATCTTCCACGTTGCTGAGGATGGTGGGTTCGAAGAAGTACCCTGTTCTGTTCAGTCGACGGCCCCCATGTTGCAGCTTTGCTCCCTCTCTAATACCTATGAAAGTATAAAGGTCGCGAGTAAGAACAACATTAGTAAAAATATAACAGTACCAATTTGTACGTATTCAAGCAGTTTGTTCAAATGAGCCAAGTGATTCTGAGGTCCATGAGAAGTGGCTTTGCTGAGCGGATCACCGATAGCAATTTTCTTTGTTTCGGCCACCACTCGCCGGATAAATTCGTCATGAACGGCATCCTCAACGAACAACCGCCCTGCAGCTATGCAGTTTTCGCCCTTATTGAAGAACACTGATTGCATGCCCTAAAAATCGCAATAAAACTGTTGTTATCAGACTATGAAGGCTTTCACTGCCGGATAAATCACATTTAGGAATGTTTTCCGGGCTTTGAAGCCGTGGTCTATGGGAAGTTCTTCCTGATGTTTCGTTCACAACTGCGGTGGACATTATCAAAGGCGATGAGGCAGTGGGCGAAGTGATCTCCCGTGCTTTCCGACTAAGACTGGTTCAACTGGTGGATTCCCCGTCGTATTTATGCCGTGTGTGCTCATGCGTGTGGGATGGGTGGGGGTTCAAACGCTTCGGCGCACACGCTGTTTGGCGCAAAACGCGCTTCCAATCTGGATTGAGTGCCGTGATTTCTTCTTTTCTGTTAAAGTTGTTTTGGTGTTTAAA